CACATTTCTAAAAATGACAATTTGAAATGGAATAGGAATGGAGTGATTCTAGTTAATAATCAACTTTTAAAAGACTCAAATATTATTGATGTTGTTAATGATATATTGCGTCCCCGTCAACCCAAAGACATGAAAAACAGAGATGCCGTGGTTCGGAGTTTAAAAGAAATTAACACTCCTCTAGAATTTATCCGAAATAAAACATATCGAAATCACTTCATAGACTACACAACCCCCATAAATACTACTCGTGAATCCTCGAGTGACGAAACAGACTATTTCAGTAGTCCTATAACTTTTAAAGACCACAAGAAAAAAGATAGTACGCTTTTAAAATCGAAACAGGAACAATCGTCTAGCAATAGTAAGATAGAAAATATACCTCCACCCCCTAAAAAGACGAGACAATCAACACTATCAGCTCTAAATTGGGAAAAGTTTAAACCATGAATAATTTATACTATAACCCGGAACAAGTATCTGCTTTTTCATCTGTTAAGAAAATTAAAGAAGCTGTACCTAATAATAGTGTTAGTGAAATAAAAAACTGGTTGCAAAAACAAGAAACTTATACTTTACATAAACGTGTTGTTAAAAATTTTAAACGAAATAAATATCATGTAACAAATATCGATGATTTATTTGAAGCCGACTTAATTGATTTAAAAAGTTTAAGTAATTTTAATGATGAAATAAAATATATATTAACAGTCATTGATGTTTTTAGTAAATATGCATGGGTTAGAATGTTAAAAACAAAAACATCCAAGGAAGTTGCTAGGGCTTTTCAAGATATATTTGAAACCTCTAATAGAATTCCGATTAATTTACATTCAGACAAGGGTCTTGAATTTTTAGGAAGTGAAACAAAAAAGTGTTTTAAAAAATATAACATAAATCATATACAGGCCGAAAATCCAGATATAAAAGCTAGTATTATAGAAAGATTTAATAGAACGCTTAAAGAAAAAATGTTTAAGTATTTTACATACAATAATAATTATAAGTACATTAATATATTGCAAACCTTAGTAGATACGTATAATAAAACAAAACACAGGACAATTAAAATGGCCCCAATAGATGTCAATGAAAATAACATATTGGAGGTTTATAATAATGCTTTTCGAATAACGGCTAAAAACCAAAATAAAAATAAATTTAAACTAAATGATTTCGTTAGAATTTCCAAGTACAAACATGTATTTGAAAAAGGTTATGAATCTAATTGGACTTTGGAAATATTTAAAATATCAAAAGTTATAAATAGACATCCACATTCGGTGTATAAACTATGCGATTTACAAAACGAGTCTGTAGAAGGCATTTTCTACGAACCCGAACTTCAAAAAGTAACATTTTCTGAAGATACAGCTTTTAAAATAGATAAAATATTAAGAAAGCGAATTAATCGTGGCATACGTGAAGTATACGTGAAGTGGAGAGGTTACCCTGACAAATTTAATTCTTGGATCCCCCAGGAAAATATTACTTTACAATAATGCAAAACGATTTTTTTTTGACTCTGCTTAGTAATAGTTCTCGAGAATATTTTCCAAACAATAAAACAACACAGTTTAGTACTCAATTGCCCAGTTCAATTCATCTTGAGGGAGAATGGCAAGTAGGCATAACAGAATTTCAATATCCTTGTTCGCTTCTGACTGTGAGAAAAACCCAAAATATTATATACTTAAAAGAACTAACTGATGGAAAAACAGATTATGTATATGAAAAAGTAAGAATCAGTACAGGTAGCTACTATAACATAGAGGATTTATTATCAGCATTAAATGCCAATACGCACTTAATAGGAAGGGGCATATCTTTTAATATGAATAATACCACACATAAAGTATCTGTAAACATTCCTCAAGAAAGCAGTGTAATTTCTATGGTTTTTTCAACTTATCTTGCTCTACAATTGGGATTTGAGCCGGATCAAGATATTTTAAAAATATGCAATGCACCACACCCATCAAATATAATTTTGGGATTACCGTCACAATTTTTTATTTATTGTGATATTATAAGTCCTCAATTTGTAGGCGATACATTAGCTAAACTTATTCGGGTTGTAAGCGTTGATAATTCAAAATATATTTACGGGAGTCAAAAAATGAAAATATTCTCACCACCTCACTACGTACCTGTTTTAAAACGTGAATTTGAAAATATCGAAATTGATATAAGGACTGAAACTGGTGAAACTGTACCATTCTTATTCGGGACTGTCTGTGTTAAACTTCATTTTAGAAGAATAAAATGACTGTAAATTGTCCATATAACGATTACTATGTTAATCAAGCAGGGTCTGGTGTTGGCACCGTATATAAAGGCGCTTACTATCAAAAAGGGCATGGAGTCGGAAGTTTTTTAAAAGGTTTATTTAGAACTATATTTCCTTTGGTTAAAAGTGGCGTAAAAACATTGGGCACAGAGGCAGCATATGGTGGTATTAATTTTCTCAAGGATGTTATTCAAAGTAAACCACCAAAAACTTCTTTTAAAGAGCGCTTAAATGAAACCACAAAAAATTTACAAGTTAAAGCCATGAAAAAAGTTGACGACATGGTGGGGTCTGGTAAACATATAAAAAGAAAGAGAACGACTAAAAGAAATCAAAAACCATCAACCAGCTGCAGTAAGAACATACGAAAACCTAAAAAACAAAAACTTGAAGATATTTTTGGTTAAATAAATAAAAACGATGTCTTTTATCCATAATCAATCTTGTGAATGTATTAAAAGTGAACTGGACTTATTTGCTATACCATCAACTCAAACTAGTATAGAGTCAGGACAGTGGATTCATTATAAACCTCTTTCATCTCTAACCGATCAAGCACCTCTGGAATTTGTTATACCTGGCATAGGCGACGAATATTTGGATCTGTCCCATACTTTACTGCATATAGAAGCTAAAATATGTAAACCAGATAATTCCAGTTACAAAAATGAATTAGAGGGCGAAAAATCGATAGGACCTGTAAATAATTTGCTACATTCAATGTTTAGTCAGGTTGATGTTTATTTAAATCAAAAATTAATTTCGCCACCAAACAACACTTACGCATATAGATCATATATAGAAACTTTACTTAATTATGGCCCTGAAGCAGCAAAATCGCATCTTACTTCAAGTCTATGGTATTTAGATACAGCTAATTCAATGGATATATTAAACGAAAGTAACATTGGACATACAAAAAGAACTCAGTTTACATCATTAAGTAAACGTGTTGATTTAATAGGTAGGCTTAGTGGCGATATATTTAATCAGGAAAAGTTTTTAATGAACGGTCTTGAACTTCGTGTAAAATTAGTTCGATCGCGAGATCAGTTTGTTTTAATGGCCCCTCAAGATATGGACCCAAAACTTAAAATTTTGGATGCTAGTCTTTTAATAAGAAGAGTAAAAATTAACCCTTCTGTATTGTTAGCTCATGCTAAAGCCTTACAAGTAGCACCTGTTAAATACCCCATAACAAGAGTGGACGTTAAAGTTATTACTATACCTACAGGTGTTCAAGGAAAATCTTTGGATAATATATTTTTGGGTCAATTACCCAAAAGGTGTGTAATTGGTTTTGTATCAAATAGAGCTTTTAATGGAGATTTTACGAAAAATCCATTCAATTTTAAACATTACGATATGAACTTTTTATCTTTATATATTGATGGACAGCAAATTCCCTCTAAACCACTTCAGCCTGATTTTGATAGTAAAAATTATATAAGATCGTACAATACTTTATTTTCGGGTACTGGTATTCATTTTTCAAACAATGGTCTATGCATAAGTAGAGAGGAATATCCTAATGGTTTCTGCCTGACAGCGTTTGATTTAACTCCGGATCTTGCTGCAAATACTATGACTCACTGGAATCTAATTCGTAATGGTAGTTTGCGTTTGGAAGTGCGTTTTAAAGAAGCCCTTCTTGAAACAGTTAATTGTATTATTTATGCTGAATTCGATAGTATAATTGAAATAGATAGGAATAGAAATGTAGTTGTAGATTATAGTAGTTAATTTTAAAATGTATGTATGTATAATAATAATAATAAACCTAAATAGCACTCCGTAAACCTGTATTTTATTTTAACTTAAATTTATTTGTACCTATGATATTTTAGTATAACTGTTTGTACCTTCAAACATAAAAGGTTAAAATGCGTTCTTATGAAGTTCTTAGATATTTACACTCGTTTTTGCCAACATACTTTCATAAAGGAGTTTACGCTTTAAATCGTATACCAACTTATATAAGTAAACCGTGTGCTGTAGTTATTAATGAAGATCCTGATAATATGCCTGGAAGTCACTGGGTTGCTGTTTTTATTAATAAACATGGTTATGGATACTTTTTTGATAGTTACGAAAGGCCACCCAAATATATTATAAAAAAGTTTTTAAATAAGAATTCTAGGAAATGGATATACAATCCGAATGTTCTTCAAAGCTTATTTTCAACTGTTTGTGGTCAATATTGCATTTTATGCTTAGTATGTTTAAGTAAGAAATACAATCTAAATAATTTTTTAGATTTGTTTACATTTAATACAAATAAAAATGATAACGCTGTAAGAAAAATGTTTCAAAAATTAAATAAAAATACATTTTTTAAAAGTTAAAACAAGTTTTATTTAAAAATAGGTAAACAATATAAAGCTTATGAAAATAAATAAAATAAATATATAATATAATTAAATAAAAATAAGTAGGTAAAACAAAAACAAAAACTATACAATAATAATAATAATAAATAAAATTGTTTTTAATATAATACATAAATTTTTATAAATATACATAAATAGATATAAAGTTTAATATATTTTTTATTTATCTAAAACCCAACCGTCCATCCAGAAAGGGGCTTCTTCTACTTCTTCTTCTTCTTCGGGCTGTGGGGGTTCTTCTAGATGAGGGGTTTCTTTATAAATATAATAAATAAATGTTAATAAATATAGATTAAAAATATTTTGAATCATTCTAAAATCTAACCTTTCATCCAAAAGAGGAGTTCATTTAGCAGTATGTCTTCTTCCAACGGAGGAGGCTCGCAGGACCGAGAGGCTTCTTCTTCTGGTTGAGGGGGTTCCACAGGCTGAGGGGGTTCTTGATGATAAACCAAAACGTTTTGGTTTATCAAAGGGTCATTGTATCCGTAAGGCACAGTATCGTAACTATTTTCAATCCGTTGTCTTTTGGTATAGCATGTACGATAAATTTTATTCTCGGATCGCGATATAACGTTATAATTTGCCGTAATACAAATTTTACGACTGTTGTGGACATATATCGCTTCAGCATTATCACATACCTGGGCTTTTAGTTCATCAAAATTTACGGACTGAGTATTTTTATGATTAAGCGTTATACCCTTTACTTTACAGATAGTCTTATATTCATTTTTATCCGCACAATATACTTTGTAAGCATAATTTTTAGGGCCCCCACTTACAAATTCAGTAATCTTACTACCCGGACCATATTCAGATAATTCATCGGTTAGCATTCCCAAGTAATCGCCAACCTCTGGTAGCCATTCACCTGATTTATGTGTGAATATAACACTATCTGTGTCAAAGTAAAGGACTCTGCGATCGAGTTTTTCTAAATAAGAATACAATTCTAACCGCGCCATTGTCGTGGTATATGCTGCTATAGCGACATTAACAGTTTTTAATGGTGTTACTGCTTCTTCATGCTTACTCCAGCATGCAAGAAGAACATCGTCACTAATAATTACCAAATTATTAACAATGATAGAGGGGTCCGTAAGCATGTTAAATAGCTTAAAGGGTTCACTAATAATACTTGTCTGCATCAAGTTTAGTCTCTGGCCAAATTTTCCCCAAAAACTATTTAACATGAGTTTTGCGATAAATCTCATACCCGGGTTATTTGATATTTCTAAGATATCCAACAAAATACTTTCATGTTCTAAATAGTCTTGAATATAGGCTTGTCGTGCTTCCTGTGTAGTACACCAGTTAGGCCAGCCACTACACTCTTGCTTAATTTTTAAAAATTTATCAACATATTTAGAGAATAAACCGCCAGACTTGGTAACGCGATCGAATTGTGTTACTTTATACTCCCATATTTCATAAATTTCCAAGACTTTATAATTTAAAGAAATGGCTTTCCGCAATTCATCAGCTACAAAGGTACCAGTAAACTTACGTTCGTCATCTGTGTGAATACATTGCTCTTGGTTCATTGTTTCCACACAGGTTTTACATAACGGAAACGTAAGTTTTTTATTACATTTATACGGTAGTACAGGGTGATATAAAGTTTGAGGGGGTAACACAGAACATTTAATTAGACCTTCTACCGAATTCATTGGTAATTTTCTGCAGTCTTTGTCACCGATGTGAATTTTAGGGTGCCCCACAGGGTACTTTCCATATTTATTTATAAATGGATATAACGAGCAGACATCAAAATAACAGATTTGTTCGTTTTCATCTGAAACTTTATAATATTTTTTTGTAACATTTGTGCGACCACCATAAAAACTGTCTCTTGGATTCAATGGTAAATCTGAATATTTAAAATTATTATCAATGTAACTTCTCACTTCTTCATTATTTTTTAATAAAGACCTAAATTCGCATTCTCTAAACGATTCCACTATATACCCTGCTTTTAAAAGTCGATCCCTTTTAGCTTCAGTTAACTCGCGTCTTGTAAACATAAAATTATATTCTTCAGTATTATTCTGAAATGAAGTGGTTTGGTGAGGGAAACATTTTTCGCACCCATGAAAATAACAACCATCGAATTCAAAGACAGTGTTGGTAGCCTCACAAAAGCCGTCAACCAAAATATTTTCCTTTAACCTAACTTCCCGACCATTACCAGCATGTATTATTTTCCCTGGATGTGAAGCCTCTTTCCAAAACAACCACTTTAGCGCTATTTCGGATTGGTTATCGGCACGTCTATATCCATTAACTGGAATAATACCGATTGTCTCGGGTTGCAAAAAATTCCTCCGAAACACTTTATTACATACACTGGCTATAGTGGTTGCTTCTTGAAAGGGATCGATATTGTTCGATTTTAAAAAACAATCTCTAAACTTAATACATGCTTTCCTTAAAATTGCGACATCTAATATACAGTACTTGACTAACTCTTCTTTAAAATTAAATAAAACGTTATTTGATACCTGCTCATTATACCATTTGAAAAATTTAGTTCTGGATACCGTATCCATTGAATCAGCCATATAAAAATCGGCATCAGGCATGGGCCCTTCATAATTTATATTTTCAGTTTTATTAAATAAGTGTGGAAAATACCCCTTAACCTCTTCAAATTTAAAAGCACTTGGTAGTTTACTTAATGGTAAAGGCATGTAATTTAGGCTGTCAATAAATTTAATCTTATTACACGTAATCGCGACAAATTTGCATCCATTTCTAATTAAATGTGGATTCCATCTATTGACATCTCGTAAAATATGTTTCGTGATGAAACAACCATCGTAACCTTTCATATTATGCCCAATTGCAAAAATATTAAACTTTTTCTCAAATTTATGTAAAAATTCCATAAGGGAGCTAACTGGATTATTTGAAAAAATATGTTGACGTTTACCACAGTTTCTACAATCAATATTGATATCTTCATTCGTTATACATTTTGAACACACCTGCTCCGCGACGCATAAATTTGGTTCGTGTAAAAATGAGTTATTGGACATCTTTTTTTCCTGCATACATTCAAAATCATAGAATACAAACAGGAAATCGTTGTCTATAGAAGATTTAGTTTGTTCGGATAGTTTATGAGGCTGCATATAACAATTATGTCCTAATTTTTTAACACTTAAACAAATTGAACAAAAAGCGTATCCACATCTATGCTTATCTTTAGTCCAATAACTATTTAAACATTTCACACATCTATGTATTTTGGAGCAGAGTTTTTCCTTGTGATTATTTAAACATTCAATACCTCTAAATGTCCTTTTACATGCCTCGCAAGTTATTTGATCCATTTCAGTTCTACATGGCGGTGAAGTATGACAATTTGGGCATATATAAGGACATTTAAGATGATACTTTTTATTTGAATAACGTTTTTTACACAACTCGCAATAGTATGATGTAGCAAAGGCAGCTGTTAAGCTTATTATCAGGTTATAATGGTTGTTATCTAAAATTAAATTTATTGTTTTACGTCTATTGTCTCGCGGTCCCTCAAAATAAGTTACGGACCCCTTTCTATCACTGTACACAACAATCGTAAAATCGTTTAAATTATCTTGAAATTTTTTAATGTGATCATAAGTTCCCCCGTTCGAAAGATCAACATTACTTTCCCTACATAATTGTAACCCCCGTTGTTTCAAAATAATAAAATCATTTCTAAGTTTTTTAAATTCACCCATATCAACCTTAAATGCCATATCCAATGCTATAGCATAAGCCAGACAATAGTTATCATTATTATTAAAAATAGTTACGATACCTCGCTTTTTGGAACAAAAATCCTCATACGTTGAACCTTTTAAAGTTAGTCCTGCGCCATTACCATTGGGCAACTGGAACCGATCGATTGTCATGGTCAGTAAATTATTAGTAAAGAAGCTTGCATTACTCTGCAAAACTTTGCCCAAAGTATTCAATATAGCATCTGCAGATATCTGATCTCTCCTCCTAAACGACATGGGTAACGGCCTATCGGGAAAATCGGCGTTGAAAAAAGTGATACCGACTCTATCATTATTTTCGAATCCTCGCATACCATTATTAATAAGTGCGTTTAAACCTCTCTAAAAATAAAAAATGTTATACAATTTTGTATGAGCCGCCGTTTGTGTCAAAATTAAAAGTGCTAAATAAACTTATTTTGTTTTATAAATAATTAATTATATGCTTTGTAAAATTATTATTGTTTTTGATTTGCAAAAATAATTTTATAAAAAATAATTTTATAAAAAAATTATTTTATAAAGAAATAATTTTATAAAAAATTATTTTATAAAAAATTTTTTTTAAAATATTTTTTTATAAAATAATTTTTTATAAAATAATTTTTTTATAAAATTATTTTTGCAAATCAAAAATAATAATAATTTTACAAAGCATATAATTAATTATTTATAAAACAAAATAAGTTTATGTAGCACTTTTAATTTTGACACAAGGGCCATTCCACGCGTAACGGATAGGATAGTTGCCGTGTTTTTATTTGCAAAATAATATTGTTCTATTATATTACCAATGTCAAATTTTTATAAATAGTTCTAAACTAAAGCTGTTTAACAAGGTTTTTATTTGGCAAAATTAGGTATCGTGGTTGACTTTTTAATTCCTTAAAAACTAATAATTTAAAGCGTAACGGACGGGACTTTGCAATAGTCCCGCCCGTTACGCTTTAAATTATTAATTTTTAAGGAATTAAACAGTCAATCACGAAACCTAATTTTGCCAAATAAAAACCTTGTTAAACAGCTTTTGTTTAGAACTATTTATAAAAATTTGACATTGGTAATATAATAGAACAATATTATTTTGTAAATATAAACACGGCAACTGTTAAGCGTGGAATGGCCCACAAACGGCGCCTCATAATTTTGTTATTGTTTTTAAAATTAAATAATTTTATACAATGTTTATAGTTTTCAAAATGTTTATAGTTTTCAAAATGGTTATAGTTTTCAAAAATACTTACTCTTAGCCAGTCAATAGGTGTTCCTTGTCCATTGTAATCAAGAAATCTAAATTCAAACCGCCTAGCAGTTAGGTTGAATCTCCGGATTTCATGTTCATATTCGTTAATCAAAACGATGTTTTCAATAGTTTGAGAAGCCATTATTAAACTCTTTAAACTAGGAAGTCACTGTTTCAAATTTAAAACTTGAAGTAATAATAGAAAGCTTGTGAGGGTTTATATATTCAATTTTAAAGGTGATTAGTATACTAATATACCTCTGATATGCTAAGTATAATCTACCTCTTCCAAAAATATTTTCTTAATCGCTTCTCATAATCACCTTTTAAAGACTACACATTTAAAATAACTTTTAATATTAGTATTCAGGTAAATTTAACAATAGTTTTAAGATTTATTACTTATTACATGATATTTTTAAGCAGGATTAATACAAAATTTGGAATTTTTATACCTAATATTTCATAATCACTTGTAAACTTCACAAGTAATAAATTTTAAAAATAAGTATTAAGGTAAAATTTAACGAAATACACGAAAAATAGTTTTAAAAATTTATTATTTATAACAAGAAAATTTGTTTTTAATGTTAATATTAAATATTATAGAATATATATATATATTAGGGTGATTCAAAAAAAGCCTTTTTTTAAAAATGAACCCGCACTGGCCTAAATTATAAAGATTACATTAAACCTAAAATATTGATACCAAAAAATCCAAATTCGATGAATATTTAGAGGTCGCTCAAATCAATTTTCGTATTTTTGCACATTCGAGCCGCGAAATTATTACTGCACAAAATAGTAAATAACTCCGTTAGTTTTTAATCGATAATATTAAAAATTTAAGGGTTACCTAGTTTTTTAATACCCTCTGAGACAATGTATTGAACTTTACAGAAAAAAAAAATTTTTTCATGAAAAAAAAATAATTTGTTAATAAAAACGTATCATCTTATAAAATAAGCAACAATTGGAATCGCACTTTGATGGTACCGTAAAAAAAACTAAGAAAATAACACTTAAATTATTTAGTATACAGAAAACCTGCCGAAAGAAATATTTTATTTGATTTATATAAAATATAACCTAAAAATAATTAAGTAATTTAGATTTTTCCCATTTTCAAACGATTTTATAAATAATTTATATCCGTTTTATTGATTATGACGTATTTTTATAATATTTCTTTATTTTTGATACCATATTTAATTAATTACACTACACTGAACCAAAAGTTAGCATATATTTAAAGTAAAATTGCATTAAATCAATGAACATTTTCTTTAATTTTCAGCCAAAGAAAAAGTTTATTAATATAATGAATGTTTGTTCATAGATTCAAAGAACATAAATTCTTTAGGTCAAGGTCTACTTTAAATAATGCAAAGACAATGTTCATTGTATTACTGAACCGAAATTCATTAGTTTGATGAATACTTTCATTAATTTAATGAAAGTTTGTTCATAGATACAAAGAACATAAATTTATTAATTCAAAGACAATGTTCTTGGTATTAATGAACAGATTTTCTTTAATTTGATGAATACTTTCATTCATATTATGAATAGCATTCATTGGATATGTGATCTGCATTCTTTAACTTTATGACCAGGGTTCGTTATATACATAAACCAAAATCGTCATCTTAATGAATAATAATCATTAATTATATGTAATGTTTCATATACAGCTCGTTCAGACTAAAACCGAATATATCTATATATATATGGGGCGTGACATCGCCTCCCTCCAACGCGCGACACAGTAGCTAAGCAAATAGACTGCATCGCTAATGAGATTTTTGCATTATTATCATTTAATTTTTTAAGTCCTTACCTGCTCGACCTTTCGTTATGTCGTTTATCACACAAGCAACTGTGACGCGCCTTGGAGGGAGGCGAGGCCACGCCCCATATATATATATATAGATATATTCGGTTTTATTCTGAACAGGCTGTATTTTATGAATTAATGAATGAATTATAATTAATTATTGGAAATTTAGTATTAAATGGAAATTTTATAAATAAAACATTGCAATTTTAATTATAATATATATTTGGAATTAAAAACTAAATAAAATGTTATAAAATAAAAATGTGGAATTTTTTGTTAATAATATTTAAAAAAATGGCTATTGCAAACTTTCAATAATAATTTGAACTTTAGAAAATTTGTTTTTGGGAGCAAATTTAAAAAAATAAATTTCGATAAAAGAATAAAACATTTTGGATTCTTCTGGAAATTCCAAATCAAAGAGATAAGTTAGTTTAAAGCACAAATCTAGGGCACGTAAAATTTCAGTAAATTTATACCTAATATTATTAAAAAAAATCATAATATCTTCAACTGAAAAGATGTCCTTGCCGATGGTGTAAATGGATGGTTGTATTGTTACTTTGGTTCTTTTTAAATGAGAGATATGGTCTTCTACTTCTTGCGCACTGTATCCCACAAAAATGACTGCCTCTTGAGAGTCTTTTATAGTAAACTTAGTTATATTTTTTTTTCCAGTTACTATATCCTTTTTGATCAATTTGGTTGTAGGTACGAAGTAACCGTGTAGAGGCCAGATTATTGCAGCGTTTCGCCCATCTGTAAAGAAGTAACATATGTATGTACTTATGTTGGGCCATACTAATAGAATAAAAATACTTACTTTCAGAAATAGAAGAATTGTTTAAATTTTGTAAAAGCGCTTTTACATTTTTATCTTTTACATGATTATCTACCATTAAAAAGGAAACAATTCTATCACAATTTGTTTCCCACTGTTTCAATAAGCCATCCTCGTTTCCAAAAGCCATCTTGAAATCAATGTTGATCTGAAACACAATGATTGAGAAAAATATAAATAAAATGTGTGAAATTATTTAACCAGTCGATATCCTAAAGGTAATTTATAAAACGGGAATTTATCCATTACTTCTTCGATCGTGTGCAATTTGATATATTCCAGTCTGAACTGGCAACAGGCTTTCCATGTATGGTCAAACTGTTCTGACGTTAAATTGTCAAATTTCAGTGCCCGAAGGCAGCTCTCAGCATCCGTTTCAGGTTCTAAAATTTGTTAAGATATAAAAACAAAAGAAAAAAACATATCTTAAATCCTACCAAATGCTTTGTCAAGCCTGCTTAACTTTCTCTCTGTTTTCTTGTTTTTAGTTTTTGTGTTTCCAGATATACACTTTAACGAAGTTTTTTCCAAATTAACTAATTAATAAGCTTGGAAATAAATAATTATTGCTAATTGTGACTTACCTCTTTAGGTGAACAGTGATCGCTAATCACACATTTAGGAACAAGTACATGCATACATAAAAACTTTTTGCAACTGAAATAGGAAATATGTGGAATCTGATCTTCTTTATTAAAGTGGAGGGGGGCGTTTAAAGAACCTGTTCTTTGTGTGCAAGAATATATTCGTTAATAGTAAGAAAAAACTTCCCTGGCAACGTAATTCTTTATATTAATGTTTAAATATTTTGATGCAATACAACGTGTACGTTAAATTAAAGATTTTTGTTCGTTAATGTTATGAATAATTCATTATTTTTTTGAATGTAAAATAAGCAACAAATTCATTGATACAATAAAACCATTCGTTGTGCCAATGAACACTTCATTGTAATAAGGTAATTTTTTCGTTATTTTGATGATCATGTTTTTCTTGTGCTAACGAACATCTATGCATAATATTGATGAATTTGCTTGTTAATCCATGAACAGTGTTTATTTGAATCAATGAAAAAATTCTTTCTTTCAATGAAAACATGGTTAATGAAGGGCGTTCTTTAATAATATGACCAATATTTTTTTCAGTGTAGGTAGTTATTAAATTAGGTCCTTTTTTCAACAAAAATAAAATAACGTTAACTACAAAATTATTCACTGCATTGATATGGCTTAAGCAGAAATTTAAATTTTATTAAAATTATTGACATACCACAATAATAATTATTATTCTTAAATTTTGATAGTAAGACCTACTACCAGGTAGTTGATAAATTATATAAATATAAATATATATATATATATATATATATACATTAGGGTGCTTCAAAAAAATTTTTTTTTCGCTCTTACCCTCTCAAATGTTTTTATTTAATATAAAGAAAATCCTCACCAAATATGGGCGTTCCAGCTCAACTCTAAGAGGTCGCTGTTTTTATTTTAGTTTCCCATTGAATTAACATGGGAAAAAATAATTTTATATTTGGAATTTTATACCTCTGTATCAAAGTAACTTATGGCAACGATTATTGCAGTTTCTTATATAAAATTTAACGCTCTACAAAAAAGGTCTCTTATTATTTTTCGATAAATTGATTTCTTCTAGAGTTATTCGAGGTCAAAGTTTGATTAACATCAAATTTTCTGTTTTGGAAGGGGGCAAAACAAGGCAGCGGAGGGGGGCAAAATGGGGTACCCAAAAAATGAGCATATAAAAGTTTTCCAAAATTGTACCATCCTTTTTCTTGGTGAGTAAATATATTTTCAAATGATTTAGAAACCGAAAAAAACAATAAAACAAAAAATTTACGAAACTTTTTGGGTGCCCCAGCGGGGGGGGGACAACGCTGCCTTGTTTTGTCACCTTTCACCTCCCGTCTGCTAATTATACCATAAAATTAAAAAAAAAACAGAAAATTTGATGAAAAGGATTTTTTTTATTTTAATTATAAAAAGGACATAAATTAATAACTACTTAGTGTAATTAATTAAATATAGTATCAAAAATAAAGAAATTTTATAAAAATACGTCATAATTAATAAAACGGATATAAATTATTTATAAAATTGTATGAAAATGGGAAAAATTTGAATAACTTAATTATTATTAGGTTAGGTTTTATATAAATCAAATAAAATATTTCTTTCGGCAGATTTTATGTATGCTAAATAATTTAAGTGTTATTTTCTTAGTTTTTTTACGGTACCATCATAGTGCGATTCCAATTGTTGCTTATTTTATAAGATGATACGTTTTTATTAACAAATTATTTTTTTTTTCATGAAAAATTTTTTTCCGTAAAGTTTAATTCACTGTCTCAGAGGGTATTAAAAAACTAGGTAACCCTTAAATTTTTAATAATATCGAATAATAACTAACGGAGTTATTTACTATTTTGCGCAGTAATAATTTCGCGGCTCGAATGTGCAAAAATACGAAAATCGATTTGAGCGACCTCTAACTATTCATCGAATTTGGATTTTTTGGTATTAATCTTTTAGTTTTAATGTAATCTTTATAATTTAGGCCAGTGCAGGTTCATTTTTAAAAAAAGGCTTTTTTTGAATCACCCTAATATATATATATATATATATATATATATATATATAAATTTTATTGAAGATTTTAAAAAGGGTTATTACAATATTCAGTATATGACTCGTTTTTAATAAGTATTAAGGTAAATTTTATTGAAACACACGAAAAATAGTTTATTAAAATTTATTATTTATAACAACAAAATTTGTTTTAATTTTAATATTTATTAAACATTTTAAACAGAATTAATGCAATATTCAGTATATGACTCGTTTTTATTTCCCTTCTTGGGAACATAAACTATAGACGGAAATTCATTTGGTAATATATTTGTCCTGATTCTGAGAGGTTCCGGTGTTGCTTGTTTTAAATCGATTACTAAATATCCATGTGGTGTACTAGTAGCGTCTCTATATGCCTCTTGAATAAATCTTGCATTTTCGGGAAATATTTGTCTAGCTAGATGTGAAATTTGTGCTTTATCGCGAGGGTTTTTAAAATAAATTATATAGTTGGCGTTTAACGAAATATCCCTCTGACCCTTGCCTTGATGAAAAAGATTTTGTGTTATGTAAAATACACTTAAATTTCTATGGTGGCTTCCTTTTGTAAATATATCTACAATGACACTACCAGCCTCTTTCATTAAATCATCTATTATAATTAAAGTTGGTTCCGAACCATTAAAGTCTGTAATATTCGGCAGACCTTGCATATATTTAATATTTATTTTGTTTTCTTCATATCCTAATTGCCATTCATCATAATACCATATTATATTATTAAATGGAATATTACAAGTTTCTTTAATATTTTTTATAAAATTTAAGGCAAACACTGTCTTGCCACTAGAAGTAGGCCCCGCAATAATTGCTGTAAAAGGGTGTGTAAATCTTAGATCCATTTTTTATGTTTAACTATGGAATGATTTTAAAAGACTGAACAAAAATTTATTTATTTATTATATATATTTAAATAAAAATATAAATTTAATATAAGGTGTATATAAGAAAAACAAAAAGTATGTAAATTTTATAATATATATTTAAAATAAAAATATAAATTTATTATACCTAAATATAAGAAAAACAAAAAGTATGTACATTTTATTATTATTATTATTTTATTATTTCTATGCAGTTTTTAAAAGAATGCATTTGTATCTAAAACCATTTCTAATCTATTTCCTATGCTTGTGTATACAAAATAGTTAAATTTATAAATTAATTCTAAAAATAATAAATAATTATTAATTTTAGGCCTAGTTTCGATACATTTAAGAAAATCTCCTGTATCATACCTATTATTACTATTGTTATCATTATGTAGAATTCCAACAATTACGTCTTCTAAAATAGCTTTAAATTCGTCGGCTACACATAGTTCTTTATAATCCTCAACTAGGTTACAATGGAATGGTTTTAAGTTAAGTAAGTTATTTAATGTATCTTTTTTAAATATATCATATGCCCCTGTTTTTTTATTCATTATCTTCACCATCGATGTAATAAAAGGTACGATTGTTATTAAAAAGTTTTGCAGATGCCATTCTTCACTTTTATTGTCTTTATCCAGAATCTTCGGTATGCACATCATAACTTCATCAAAGTCTTTTTCCGTGAAAATAAGTCCCTGATATTCCTTGTCAACTTTACATATTCTTACGGTTATTGAAAATTTACTGTATGGGTTTATACCTACACAGTATAAACGATTACCAGATAGAGTAATGGGTATTCTAACTTCTTTCAGGATGCGATGTTTCTCGTAAGCTGCCATCTGTATGTTCGGTCCATCTTGAGGTGGTGCTTCGTTATAAAATGCATCAGGCTTTAAAAATTGTTCAAAACGACTATTGTTATTAAAGTTAGCACACATTTTATTTTTGCTGTTTATTTTCGATTGTATAGACACAACTGATTGTACTAGCTTTAAAAACTGCTATTTATATTTTTAAAATCCATTAACGACTTTTCCAAAATACGTTTTCTATTGTTAATTGACATTCCAATGACGTCTCTCGTTTTTTCTAGAATATTTTTTTGGAAAGTTAAAGAAATTTTAGAAACCACGTCAGCCACGTTTAGTGACTTTTATTTCTTTAAGTTTATTAAAATTTAAGTTGGAAACCCTGTTTTTTTTCCACTACGCCATCTACCATTAACCGATTTAAACATATAAAAACAAATATAGCTATCTATATTTTACCAACGTTAGTTACACTATTTATCCATAGGGGGCCTATTTATTTAGTTTTATTTTATTTACCTTATCTAAAACAACGCCATCTACCATTATCTAATTTAAACATATAAAAACAAATAAAGCTGTCTATATTTTACCAACGTTAGTTATGCTTTTTGTCCATAGGGGGCGTAGTAACTTTTTTATTTATTTATCTAAAAACCAGATCCACGGATAGAGAGGTCCGTGGCTCGATTCTCGACAGGGCTTTTTTTTGTTTTTTTCAGAAAAATAAAAGACATTATTAAGGTACGCATCAATCATCAATGCACAATTTTATGTGAAGGCTTGCTAGTCGAATTGTTTAAGGCAGTTCCAATTCATTAAAGATTTTGTTTTCGCCATTTCGAATAAATTTTTCGAAAATTCCATTCAAAATTCCAACTTAACTTCACAAATTACACAAATCAGACGCTTTGACAATCACAACATTAAACACGGCCTTATTTACAGGAAACTTCCCATTTTTCTCCAATAGTCGCACTTGCTTCTAAATCAAAAACTACCATCCACAGCGAGGTTTTTTATTAATTTTAATTTTCCTCATTTATTCATATTTAGGTTTTTTCAAAATTTTTCCTAGACATATTCGGCACTTAAAATTTTTCTTTTTCCTCTTGTACTATCCCTTCTTTCTTCTTTTTTAAAAAATATATCATTACTTTTAAGAAGGTTTTTTCTAATTTGTTTTTCCTTCAAATCACTCACTATTTTATTTATTCATTACTTCACCTTATCTTCCATTACTTTTCTAAAATTTTTTACTGAGTATCTTCCCCAAAATCGCCATGCGAGTAAAAGTGGAACAGCACTGACCAATTACGATAATCTGGGCCTCTATGCGGTATAAAGTTCGCACAAGGAGGTTAATTACTTACGTTTTAACCTTCTTGTCACCTCAAAATTTTAACATTTCTCACTCACTCTTTTTTTCACTTTTATATTTGCCCCCTTTAGACCACGTACTCTTGCCAGGATTACCTCAAAATTTATTAACTCTCTAAATTTTTTCTAAACTCTATAAATTTTCTTTTTTTTATATACATATTGTACCTTTATACCTTTATAGTTAGGCTGATTAAAATTTATTATGTAATTATTGTTAAATAAACTAATTTGGAATTTGGAATTTGGAATTTGGAAAAAGGCAGTTCGCTTTGAACCAGGTCTATATGGGTTCAAATCCCAGTTCAGCTTTTTATTTTCTGAAAAATAAAAAGAGAAAACGTCATTGGAATGTCATTAGCATTTGGAAAGTCGATTTCCCCTTAATGACATTTTCTAATCACCTAATTAGGTCATTAGAAAATGTCGTTAAATACTCATTAATGGGTATTTAATTACTTTTTAATTTCGTCTATCACCATGTATTCTGCTAAGGCTCATGGAAATGGTTTTGAAGGGACTATCCTGGAAGACATGCTTGGTGTACCTTGACGACATCATTGTGGTTGGGAAATCATTTGAGGACCATATGAGGAACCTGAAGGAAGTCTTTCAGCCCTTAAGAAGGTCTGGCCTGAAGCTAAGCCCGAAGAAATGTCACTTGTTCCAGAGGGAAGTGCAGTATTTGGGCAATGTCGTTTCAAGTCAAGGAGTAGCAGTTGATAAACAGAAGGTAAAGACGATGCGGGATTGACCAATACCGAAATATAAACATGATTTAAGAAACTTTATCCTCTTCCGGATGGTGAATTTATTTTGGACATGGACGCCAGCAATGTGTGACTGGGAGCTGTTTTTTGCAGATTCAAGAAGGAAAAGAGAAAGTTATTGGATACTTCAGAAAAACTTTATCCAAACCAGAATGTACATAATTACTGCGTTACTTGACGAGAGTTGCTGGCAGTGTTAAAATCGGTCGAACACTTTTACAAGTACCTGGATGGTAGAAAATTCTTGCTAAGAACGGATAATGCTGCCCTAAAATGGCTTTTGCAATTCAAGAATCCTGAAGGACAGATAGCAAGATGGATTGAGAGACTACAGGAGTTCGACTTGGACACATAACATCAGTCTGGGACCATCCATAGAAATGCTGACGCCTTGTTAAGAAGACCGTGCCCGAAAGACATTGTCTCAGGGCGGAAGAAAAGGATGTGTTTATTCGCAGGTCTACACTTGTGGATGATCATTGGCAGTCCAATGAGGTTCAACAAGATCAGGAAGGGGACCCAGATTTGAAGCCCATCATCGACTGGAAGAAGAACGACCGCAAACCAACGTGGCAAGAAGTCGCCAAATATTAGCCGAATGTAAAATCGTACTGGGCCCAATGGAATTCCATCATCTTAAGTGCGGACTTCTCAAGCGCGTTCTGGAGACTCCAGAAGGGGGAGAAGACCGGAAGCAGTTAATAATCCACAGAAACAGGATACCAGAAGTGCTGCAGGAAATCCATGATGGAACTACTGGAGGACATTTTGGGGTGATGAGGACGCTTGGAAGACTTAGGAAACGGTTTTATTGGGTCAATTGTCAACGATATGTAAAGGAATGGTGCAAAAAGTGCGCCGTTTGCGCGGCAAGCAATGGACCCCAGAAGCGCCCAAAAGCTTCAATGCGACAGTACAATGTGAAACAGAATCTGAAAATAAATACATTATCGGGGGTAATTACACAAGTGCTTAAAAATTATCGATAATTTTGCTTGAAAGCATATTGCCTAAAAAATGCATGAGTTAATTTTCATATTTTAGAAAGATGGCCACCAGATCTCCTTGTTCAATAGGGTGGATCGAAAAATTTCAAAGTTAAAATTTGGACTCGCTATACCGCGCAAAAGTTGCCTTAGGTGTATAAAAGCATAACAAAAAAAAATTTATTAAATTCGGATAACATCTTCCGATCGCGCAAAACGCCCAAAGTTTTCAAAAAATACGAATTTGACAGTTTTTTCGCATATACTTTTGTTTAACTTGAGGTTTGTATTTTTTAGCGCTATGGTGCTTAAACGTTAGTAATAGTATTGAGTTGCCTGCAGAAAAAATATCACCACTTTTAAACCATATCTTCCGATCGCGCAAAGCGTCTAAATATTTGCAAAATATGCAAATTTTTTCCGTAAGTTTACATATACAAATGTGCAAATCTTTGCTTGCTTAGAAATAATTTAATTAATTTTAATTTATTATCTAAACAACCCAGAACTCACCACGAGGAGGTAGCTACACTTAGAGATCCACCCACACCCTTCCCTCCATCCAACCATTAAGATTGTGTGCCGATTTATTCCGACCTTTCCAATGTCACTTACTGCTGAATTCGTTAATTGCCTCTCTCGATTTGAGTGTTGCCCTAATGTATCCATACCTTGATTGCGGCCCGCATACCTTAAGAGAAGCTTCGGTAACTAGCTTCACACAACGCTCCACAGCTTGCGTGTGACATGGAAACTCTCTTATATCCCAATCCGGGGTTTCACTCGATTGTATGACGCTTTTGATTTCTTCATCTCTAAACCCACGGAGAAGAGGTGGAGACGATATTTTTGTAGTGCTCCAATCTATCATTTCCGTGTAATCTAATGCGTCAAATTTAAGTGAAGGAGTGTGAAAGATCCTAATGCCTTTTCCAGTCGAAGCTTGGGCCAGGATCATTTAGTGGTCCGATTGGACAGTCTTATTGGCTGTAAAAATCGAGAAGTGGTAGAATTTCAACTGATTGACTGTGAGATCCCAGATATTGATAATAACCTACTGAGCAAAGATCAAAGATCTTTGATCGTTTGGAAAAGTGCGAGATTTAATTGCTTGTGCACCTGCGCAAATAGAATCCTTCGGCTATATGTTAGTGTTATATAGGTATCCTTAGAATGCCTTGCCATTGCCGGTGTGGTTCAAAATTAAGTATGACAACCGAATTTCAAGCAGACCCAGTACCGGGCAATAGAAACATCTAGATACCTGAGTAATGAATTAAAGGCAGTGGTATTCCCGGTAATTGAAAGAAATTCTTTCTGCGCCCATCCTGAAAACATTTTAATAGCCATGCTATTTGATTACACTTAGAGATCCACCCACACCCTTCCCTCCATCCAACCATTAAGATTGTGTGCCGATTTATTCCGACCTTTCCAATGTCACTTACTGCTGAATTCGTTAATTGCCTCTCTCGATTTGAGTGTTGCCCTAATGTATCCATACCTTGATTGCGGCCCGCATACCTTAAGAGAAGCTTCGGTAACTAGCTTCACACAACGCTCCACAGCTTGCGTGTGACATGGAAACTCTCTTATATCCCAATCCGGGGTTTCACCCGATTGTATGACGCTTTTGATTTCTTCATCTCTAAACCCACGGAGAAGAGGTGGAGACGATATTTTTGTAGTGCTCCAATCTATCATTTCCGTGTAATCTAATGCGTCAAATTTAAGTGAAGGAGTGTGAAAGATCCTAATGCCTTTTCCAGTCGAAGCTTGGGCCAGGATCATTTAGTGGTCCGATTGGACAGTCTTATTGGCTGTAAAAATCGAGAAGTGGTAGAATTTCAACTGATTGACTGTGAGATCCCAGATATTGATAATAACCTACTGAGCAAAGATCAAAGATCTTTGATCGTTTGGAAAAGTGCGAGATTTAATTGCTTGTGCACCTGCGCAAATAGAATCCTTCGGCTATATGTTAGTGTTATAT